TGAACAGCAGTGAGGGGTTGGATTACCAACGGCTTTGAGAGTGCCACTTAAATCACACCAGGGTGAAAATATTTGACAAATGTGAGTCTCGATAAAAGTTGTCAGGACAGCAGGACATTATATGTAAAGCCAGAACAAACCAGAATGTCCTGTCACTTTCGCTAATGGTCTGACCATACAAAGCGCACTTGATGAACATATGCAATCAAAGCCAAAAAAACAGGACAGAAGAACTGGATGCCAAGAAATGATTGTAGTGTTAGTGTAAGCTTTTATGTTTAAAATTCATGGTCAAAATCTACCCTTAAATGCACAGATGCATAACCCTTGCTGACTTCAGTAGGAACAGCACTGCTATATCTGTGAACAGAATCTGACCGAAATGGGGGAAAAAAATTCCATTTTTATTGAATACTTCATGCTCATGTGTGACTGAAATTGTAAACCAAGGGCTTCATTTACTAGGACAAGGGTTCTAATGTTATATCAAGAGTATATTATGGTGTTAGAATAATACCAATGTTTTCCCCAAACTTTACAGGAATTTAAAATGGGGCTATAGGAAGTGAAAAATCATAGGTACCTGAATAATAAAATTCTAGCTCCTCTTGATTTTAGTATTGAAAAGAAGAACCTAATTTGTGGGGTTTTTTAATTTGTCTCTAGCTAATTAAAGGGAAAATAAATTAAAATCTTAGCTCCTTGAGCCACTCTTTCAAAGGAAACAAACATGTTAATGTCCAATCAAAAAACGACATGCAATGTACACTTGATCTCCACTGTCTCTTACCCTCCTCACCTACGTTCTGTGGAAAAGATATTTTCATTAGACCAGGAATCACAATTGCATAGCATTATTGGAGAATCAGAGGTGGGTGCTCTCAGTTCCCAAGGGTTTCTCCAATATACATAAAGCTTTAGTAAGTCTCAAGGAAGTTCAAAGTAATGGTCTTATTATGTTATAACTTATAACTTATTATGTTAACTGTTTTCTGGGATAATTGTAATAACCTTTCTTCTAAAGGCACATTTCAAGAAGAATAATCATATCTGGCACATTTGCTGGTACTAATAGGCTAGGGACTTAACAGATAAACTTTTCACAATAAAAACAAATTTCAAAAGGGTATTTTCTACAAAATGGAAACTTTGAACTACTCTGGTTAGAAGGGACCAGTCATATTATTGACCAAGGCACCAAAAGAATAAAATCAAAAGCTAAGTATCTTTTGCCAAAAGACAAAATATGAAATCATTATTTCATTGTGACAACTGAGAAAATATTGAAAGCACTTTGCAAATTAATCTAATTTGAAATGTTTCAATATATTGGCTTTGGCCAATCTGAACCCTCCACGTGTTCCATTTCTAGGAGTTTTCCCTTAATCAAGTTTTGCTGGCCCACACCTTTGCTGAAAATGATTTTGAGTAAAAAACCTGAGGATTCATGGATATTCAACTTAAAATCCGCAAACATTAGTATTTCTTTTGCAAGCATTTGCACACAGGGCTAATTTGGAACCAGAATCAATACTATGTATTTTACTTGACCAGTCACTACTAATCAAAAAAACTTAAATATCAAATACTAAACACAAATAACTGCAAAAATAAAGCCAAAATTAAAAAGTTCCAGATACTTTGACATATAATACACATTTGAAAATATTGTAATGAACTGAGAGAAAGTCTGTGAGATGGAAGCAAGGCTAGATTTGCTGAATTCAATATTAGTTATGAAATATTAGTTATGAATCCTAGTAAATACGCATGGTTAAATACCATTATTTATATAAATTAAACAATGACTATTTTAATTTGCCATTTTATGATCAAATAAATCTCCCATTAGCTTCTGAAAAATTAACATAAGCCAATATATACGTATGGACAGATGGTGAAACCCATTTATAGCTCAACTGTGATGATGAAGTGCATTCTTACCTTGGCATTCATAGCCTCTTTCTTCATAGCCAGCATTACACAAACACTTTCCTATGGGCACTAGCCATTCGCCTTCTGTACTGCAATACATCTTGGGTGGGTCTTCTTCCTTGGAGTGATTGACACAAGAACCTTGCACTTCCACCAATGACTGAGAGTCCATAGGTACTGTATCTGGAAACATAGCCAGGTTTTTTATAGTGAAAGGGCATTTCTTGAAGTACACTCGCACTGATACTAAGGCAACACATGCGCCCACATCTTGAATTTTGCTCACGAACTTCCGTATTAAGCTTGAGAATTCGATCCCCCAGATCCATTTGAGTGAAGCTCTCATCAGCTGCAATAGTGTCAATCTTTGTAAACTGATGCTCTCTGAACTTGACCGAATGGTCATCATCGGACTCCATATAATAGAGATTGAAGGTCTCTTTGCAAGTGCCCAGCACCAGAGGAATGCTATTACAGTCCCTCAAGGTAAACTTGAGCTCCACATAGATTTTCTGAGCTGAGTTGCGTGGAATCCAGTTAGTTCTCAGCCAGTTGTTCTGACTGTGATCCATAACATTGCAAACCTGGTAAGTTCTGATTGGCGTATAATGTTCATCAACTCCACTAATCTCTTCCCACTGAAAAAAAGAAAGGAAAGAAAATATATTAAGTATACCAATTATGTCAACATGAGTAGCAGTTAGAGCTTCCCATCACGATCATGCAGTGCAGTGAAGGGTCTGATCCCACCTTACAAAATGTCCCTGTTTTACCTAGAAACTTAATGGGAAACCCTTGCCAAACTCAGAAACATATTACATAAATAGCAGATACTAGGAAGTAGTAAACATTTATCAAGTTACCACAAAGTGTACAAGAAAATTGATAGTTATTTCCATTTACTTAGAAGCGGTAATTGTAAATGTTGACTTTTTAAAAAAGAGAGGCAAGCTCGGTAAGGTAACATTTTTCATTGGACCAGCTTCTATTGGTGTGAGAGCAATGGCGCTGGAATAATTTTTAGGGTGAGGATGCTGAGCTACACCACTCTCACCTGTGTCTGTACCATCCTCACCTGTGTCCCTCACCACTCCATGCTGGGGGTGCAGCTTGGGTTAGCTGCAGAGCTGCAGCCCCAGACCAGAAGTGGAGCTTGTCGGCCAACAGCCTGCGTGATCTGCTGGGACCACGATGACACAGGCTGGCAGCCTGGAGCATGACACATGGCACAAAGCCTGGAGGTGCTGTAGCACCCTTCACACCCTTACTTTCTGCGCCTCTGCATGAGAGCGCTCCACAGAACTCTTCTTCATATCTGGAAAATGCAAGTGTCACAGCTAAATGAAAACAGAGGTTAGTGCATATTACAAGAGACCATTTAAGGTGAAGGCAGCAATTAACATGTCTGCAGTCAAAGGTTAAAGGAGGGTTTGTGGGCTACCTGTTGTTTTAAGTAGATATACAAACAGCAACTGTTCTGCTGATATTAATAAAATGCAATATTTATCCGATTTCCACCCATATGACAGCACTTCTAATGAGCAATGACAGTCCAGGAATTTAACTACTAAAATGAATATCAACAGAAGACTATTGACTATTTTTTGTTTTGGCTCCCATCCGTGGGCTGTATGTTCAGCTCTGCGTAAACCCAAACCACACTGCAGGCCACAAACGAACTGGCCGCGGGCCACATGCGGTCCACAGGCCACATGTTTAATAGCCCGGTCCTAAAACAAAGCTCCTGCATGGCACACATTTTGCAATGTGTGAAGCAGATGGAATTACATATTTTCAAATGCACCTTAGGGCAAACTGGGAATTTATCTACAGAAGTGAGTTGCTCAGTGTGCTCATATCAGTGCTGAATTGATGCTGATCAACATTCATCTGAGGAATCGAGTCAGTGTTTGCCCATCATGAACAATGCAGTCAGAAATGATCTTGAGGCAGTCATCCCCTAACAGGATGTTCTAGCCACCAAACTACCCTTGAAGTTGTGCTTGAAATTGTTCTCTCCCCTCCTAGGTCAACTTGCCTCTGAATTTTGAAATCCTAGAGCAGTTCACTAAAATGATACTTTTATAGCAAGACCTGGTAACTGGTTATTTGATATAAATACTTTCCTTCTCAGTAGGTATTTATATGCTTGGCTTCTTCCTCTAAGAGTTGGGAGTTATTGTCCATGCCTTGCAATGGCAGCTTGAACTATGGCATAGTGAGCAGGGTTCTCTTGGTACAAATCTCTCAGCATGTGGAAGAAGGGGAAACAGACGGGCGAGGGAGAGAGTAGGGTAGAGCACCAAATTCCAGGCTGGCCGTGCACATCAGCCTGGGGTTCAGTTGCTCAAATCTGGTATGATGTAACACCTGCCATGCGGTTTGAGGGGAAGCTAGCTAATGGGGTCAGTCCCTCTGGTATCCAAAAGGTGCTGGAGGCATTGGACGTACATAAGAAGGAAAAGGGGGAGTGCCAGGCTAGATAGCTATTCCTACGTGCACTCTGCAGTGTATGTGAAGAGGAAAAGGAGTAAACTATGTTTCTGAAGCAAGTATTGAAAAAGTTTAGGCATGGCCCAGGGTCTGATAATACTTTAGCTTGTTCATATTAGGCAGACCTTGAAAGAAATTTGGCAAATGTTTACAAACCCTTAATCTCACCCAAAAGATACTGCTGCAGTCTGGGCTGATATGAAAAACCCTGTACTGAGGAGTTTAAGAAAATTTAGCTGACTGCAAAAATGAACATTTGGATTTTAACCCAAGTAAAGGAATCAGAAGGTATGATAGCTAATCAAGGAGCCCATCCTTCTTACTAAATTAGTAATGGACAAAACCTGTGTCCATGAAAAGGAGCCATTTAGCAGGAAAAGCAGAATCAGGTACAGACCATAAGAAGGAAATAAGCATGTTTTAAGGGGGTAAGAGGTTTGGGGCTCTGTGTGTGCATAGTATAAAGAATAAGGAAAGCAGTAGTGCAGGCATTAGAAAGTTTTCATTTGAGGGACAACGCAAGTGATTATGGGTGCAAGAAGATGGGAAGTGTGGAAGGAATTAAGCAATTGTTGTAATGTGTTAGAAGGAAATGGACTCCTTGTTTTTGTGCGGCCTCTCTCGTAAGCAATGTGTAAATAATCCAGGCAAAGAAACAATTTAATTTAAATAGTTGGCTATGGACACTTTTTTTAAATTTGCTAAATGAGAAATAAGGGATTCTACTGGAATTTAACTGGTCAAATGCATAACAAATTTGTGAATCTGTTTGGTAGGTTTCAAATGAATTGGTTTTATTTTGTTTTGGATCATGCTCTCTCACTTAAAATTGCAAACTTACAAGACATTTTGTGCAAGACTAGTGCTGCTTGTCTGGGGGCTTTTAACCCATAAGGTGGTTCTAAGAAAACAAACTGTTATGCTAATAAGCTACATAAAACCTGTAAAACACTTCATGTACTTCAAAGAGAAAGCCATTTAGGCTTGCTGGAAAGGTAACTAGCAAACACCTTGTGCTAAGGAAAATCACTATAGCACTAAAGCCTCTCAGTTACTGCCTGTGAATAAATTTGGAGCTTGACAACAGACTGACTATTAAAAAAACCTGGTCTGCAGTATATAAGGGAAATTGAGGCATACCATCTTTAACTCAAAAGCTGGTTTACAAAACAAAAGCATAGGTAATAATTGGGTAACAACAGGCTGATCAAGAAAATCAGCAAGAATACTTGTAACAGAAAGAAACATTTTAAAATATGATGTGCCACTCCCACAGGGGTAGAAAATTGTTCTTTTGTCTTACAGAACATCAGAAAGAGCTGGTACCAGCTGAAGAGAAACTGACAAAAAAAACTGTTTAGCAAGAGAAAAGGAAAGAAAAAGGATTGGGCCCAATCAAATGGCAATTCTAAAAAACTTAGTGGACGGATAATAGTCTGGTAATTGTTTAAGCTAGTTGAATGCTGACAATGTCTCCACAGGTAAACAAGAAAAGAAACTAAAGGGTAACCATAAAACTGTTCCTGCTACAGCTCCTACTACCCCTATGGAGGCTGACAAAGGGAGCAAAGAGTGTGCCATGTAAAAAGGACTGGGAGTGGGGTCCCAACCCCCTTACACTGGGTTTACTTTGCTTTAATTGCCATACTAATGAAATATTTAGTTTTTGCAAAACTTGTACACTAACAGTGAAAGGGGCCTGGCCAGAGGTAACAATAAATCTGCAAATGGAACATCAGAAAATTTGGATAAAATTATACACCATTGCTCACAGCAATGGGGAAACTAGTAACCTCACTATTGTAACAACAGCCGATAGCCTAGTTATTCTGGGGCCAGGTGCCTGATGCCTTAAAAGGCTTCGAAAATATCTGGAGAGAATCATGGAATTGCATGGGTTCCCCATTAATAAGGAAAGACATTCTTAAACCATGCTGTGGTCCTCAAATCACCTTTAAAAGAAGACAATTGCGTACTGACTTTCCTTGCGTACTGAAAGTCAAGGAAAATACAAGGTGCTGGGCTACCCCTCATTTAAACACAACTACTTTGCATACTATAAAAACACTGGTATTGAAAGACCCACACAATCCTCTGTATTAGAACTTGAGTGGGATCACATAAGTAACAAACCAAACACTGAAATCAAGTCATGCGTTAATTACACTGGCATAGTGCCTATGGAAGTCGGGCCTGTGGACTTCAGATGGGGCCTCCCACTTAAGGCACAGACAGAGGTCACCCCAGTGTCATGGCAAATCTTTGTGAAGCAATGGCCCATGTTGAAGTGCTCTCAGCTGAGAACGATTAACCGAGTCCTCAGGAACAAGTTAAGAATGGGGCAAGCTCTAGCTATCAGCACACAAGGAATTGTAACAGATCTTTCAGATGGCCAAGTCCACCCAGCCCTTATGGAAGTGGTGAGACCCCCCCCCCATCTTCCTAATATCCCTCTGTGGGAATGAGGAAACAGAGAATCCATGAGAATACAAAGGCCAATATGGATGGGACATAGCATGATCTTTACCCTTCTAGCACCTGGTGCACAATGTGGGTGAGCACCCATGGGCATCCCTCACACTCAACTAACGAAAATGGTGCTCTCCCTGCAAGTGTTGAGGCGAGGTCACATTACCAGAATAAAAGGTGTGGCATACTCTGAAGTCGCTGGAAAGGCACTGTACCCCAGTGAATGTGGCGCCCAATCTGACAAAGAGAATGCAGGTAGTGGCATACTCTGAAGTCGCTGGAAAGGCACTGTACCCCAGTGAATGTGGTGCCCAATCTGACACAGATCAGCAATCTGACGTTTTGGCTAAAAAGTTTCCCCCAAATTGGACTCTTTCTCTCAGGCCAAAATGGCAAACAGTGTGGGATCAGATCCACACCATTAACAAAATGCAACAAATAAAACACCAGGTCATCCCCCAATGGCTGACACCCTAATTAAGGGGCATACCAGGATGAGGTGCAGGAGACAAATTGCTTGATCATTGTCTTCGGTCCACCGTCTCTGGGGCACCTGGTGCTGGCCTCTGTCGGCAGACAGGCTACTGGGCTAGATGGACCTTTGGTCTGACACAGTACGGCCGTTCTTATGTTCTTATATTCTCGAACGTAGGGGTCAATTGTGGAAGAATGCTGT